GTCTGGTTCCCGGTTTTTTAGAATCGTTGGTCGTGTGCCTCGGTTCGGGACCGCTTAACCATCTCCATTTGCTCCAGTTTTTGGCATACTTCTTATTTGCTCCCTTTTGAGGGACACTGTGGCCCGAGAAACCGACTTCGTGGTCGAACATCACTCCCGGTGCCTAACAGTCAGTTTTCGGGGCCTCGGGCTGCGCGTTTCGGCCCCCGAACCTTCATTCTACATTGGTTTTGGTTCATTTTTGGCAGGGACCTCTGTTTTATTGGTAAGAAGGCCGTAGAAGGGTGGGAGGCCAGTAATTGTTCTGTCAGCCAACTTTATCCCTTCATCGCCCTCCGTCGCCCGATTTTCCTCACTTCAAAGCCAATGTTGACCATCCTTGGGCCATTTTCTTGCACCCTAAACCCCATATTTGTGATGTACACATCTGGGAGGCCACCAATATTTGGTGGCCGGCCAGTAATTGTTGTTGAACCTTTTGAACCCCTTTGAAAAGTGGGTTGTTCTCTCTCCTGGTTCACTATTTCTAGTGTTTAACCACAGGGTTGTGTTGTGCACACATCAGAGGCTCTCTTTTTGGGGTGGCTGGCCACTAATGCTTCTTGACCCTTTTGACCCCTAGCCAGCCGGCCACGGGAAGTAGCCGGCCGGTCACCTACAACCTCAATAGCTGGCCGGTCATGATCCTTGCACCCTGTTCCTTACAGCTGTATATTCTATTTCCCCCCAGATTGTGTATCTGGGGGGGTGTATTTTTGGGGGGACACTTGATTCATTTCCCTCCATTTTCCCCCCCTTTTTCTCCCCTCTCTTGTCTATATAACAGCAGCTCTAGCTGCTGGTTTGGGGGTTACAACATTTGCCTTAGGCCCCTTCCATTGTATCTCTCTCCCTTTACACTTCCAAGCTCAAAACTCTCAAGTTCCTACACCCCTCTCTACACCACCACCTAGCACCATACCTCCAACCTCCATTGTAGCCACTTGAAGTTGTTTTTCAGAGCTAAAGAGCCACCAAACTCAAGCCAAGAGTTGCCAAAAGATTGGTCTACAAGGGTAAGCTCCATTTCCCCCTTTTTGGTCCATATTTTGCATGCTATTCTAGCTCCTTGTGCTTGCTGTTTTGGGCTCCGACCCTAACTGGAACCTAAGGCTTTTGAGATATTTTTCATAATTTTGTTTAAGGGTATTTACTGTTTGAGGTCTCCTTGTTGGCGACTTTGCTTGCATTATCCTCCCTTGTCTGCCAATCTTCTTGTGTAGTATGTTTTTTGGCCTATGGTTAAAACTAGTTTTGAGCTCTGTCATGAATTGAAATTAGGCTTTAATTTTTTTGAGGCCTTTCTTCAACACATTGTTGAAGGGCTGCATTTTGTTGAGGCGTTTCAATTTATCACTTGCCACTTATATTTCTTTTGGCCATAATTTTGCATACTCTTTTATTTGCTTCTGTTTTGGGCTCTGTCCAACCATAAGTGGCCTTATTTGACCCCCTCTTCATGTTTTATTAAGGGTATTTTACTGTTGAGGCATCCTTTATAACTTTGTGTTATATCTCTCTTTTTCGGCCTTATTTTGCGTAGTATTTTTAGGCCTTGCATGTATAGCTATTTTGGGTCTGGCCATCAACTGTAAAGTGAATATTTTGGGCCCATTTACAACATTTTTGAAGGGCCCCTCTTGGTGTTTGAGGCCAGAAAGCACCACTTGCTTATTTGTCTCTCTTTTTGGCCCATTTCTTGCATGAGAGCTTAGCCCATAACTGTGTTTGTTTTTGTGGTTTGTTGTAAACTGGTAAATACTCATATTTTGGGCCCCTCTTCAACCATTCGTTGAAGGGGCCCTCATCTGTTTGAGGCCTGCAGCTGTGACTTTCTTCTTTATCGTCACATTTAGGGCCATTTTTTGCCATGCTAGTTTTTGCCCTATCTTGTGTTTATTGTTTGACCTTGCTTAGAACTGTGAATGTGCCCTTATTTTTGGGGCTGTCTTGACTCTTTATTACATCATGTTAAAATAATGCATGTCTTTGTATAGCTATAGGCCAATGCACAGTGCCTAATTTCATGTTTCGGGTCGCATGTCATGCATCGGGTGCCATCTTTCCCATCTTTCGGGGCCGTTTTTTGCATCACTCTAGCCCCTGAAATTGCATGTTTTCGCATACCTGTCCATGCCTTGCCATCTTTGGTAAGAGTGGCATTCGGTGCCTTAATGGTTCGGTCCAGCGTTGCGTGCACGTGTGCACGCATCTCGAGTTGCTTTCTATTTTCCATCCATGGCTTCCTATGTGAGTGTGGCTGAGGTCCACTCCATCGTTGGTATAAAGTCCATTGTGCATTGTGGTATGCCATTTCATTTCATACGCATTGCGAACGCTAGTTGTAATGTGGAGCAATCTGCTGTATCGCCATTTACCTCGTGCATCGGTGTAATGCCCATTTCATAGGCAATTGCGCATGCCTAGGTTGTATTATTAGTTGCCATTCATCATCATGCATATTGCATTGTGCTTGGGATAGGAGTTAGCCAGCAAGGGAAATGAGCGTACCCTTTTGGTACTCTGAGTGACGGAACGTGTCTCAAATTCCCCTGTCGCCGACACTCCGGATACCTTGATGAGCTTAGGCCTGTTGTGTTATGTGTGCACATTCTATATTGAAGTCCATGCTAAATCGACTCCTCGGCCATCATGCATCGATTGCGTGATTGGTGGCATGACGGCTCCGAGGCATGCCATATATCTGGTGTGAAAATACAGTTATGCCCCTTTCCCTGCTCTCCTGTTGCAGCAAATCAAGAATTAGCAACCTTCCGGAGCTTGGCGCGCTTTTCCAAGAATAATCGTAAACAGAGGGGGCCTAAAATTGGGGCATCCAATGGATTTCCGCACAAGGGCAGCCCAGACATGCATCGCATCCATCGTCCGAAGAAGAGTCAAGGCAGTCCTTGGCTTGCATGCCAGTTTATTAATTTTTCGTAGCTTAATTTGGAAATAATTAGAGAATTTGTATATATTTGGACTGTATTATTTGGACTGACTATTTATTCGACCTCTGCGTGAGGGCAACAACTGTAATAAGTGTGCGTGCGTGTGATGTAACTGTACTCCAACCCCGTCTTTCTCCTTTTAATTTATCCACGCTATGATGGTTAGATTAGGGCATGTTTCAATTAAAGCATACAGTATGACAGCATGTTTTGCATCATCATCTGTTTTGCATGCACCTGTGGGCTCGGCGATCATACTAACGCATGTATTTTTCAAAATTTCAAGTGAAGTACATGTTAGCTGTAGCATTATCAATGCCATGTTAAGAATGCCGAGCCGCTAATAGTTGCATTTTTGCATGTGTTGCATTAAGACATTTCTATTAGTTAGGATTCATGCATGGATTTCTAAACCTAGCTTCTGTTTTGGTTGGAGTAATCGGTAAGTTTTATCTTTAAGCATCCTTGCATGCGTGTGAGTGCTGCCCATGAATAGCATCTACCAATGAGGCTATATCTTATGTGATATAACCTGCCTGAATGCCTGTTTGGGTGAAGGTTGGGGTTATTTGAATTGGAACAATCATTCAAATGTGTGTTAAAGCCCACTAGATAGTGGCAAAACCATCTTTTCTAAAGCCCACTTGAGGGTGGCAAAACCTACATTTCAGCCTACTTGCAAGTAGCAAACCATTTTCAAAACAAGCATGAAATGTTTTGTTCCAATTTAGGCAATTTGGTCTATACTTGTTTGCAGTGCGCATAACATAGTAATTCTAGGCTAATAACCGGAATAAGAACACATAACGTTTTCAAAAACGGATATCACGGTTAGTAGAGGCCAATCTTCGGATCGGGCGAGAGGGGGTGCTCACAGCTGACCTTCCCCAATCGTACCCAAGCTCTCGAGCCGAGGCAACTTTGGTGATGATGGACGGGTGGCCTTTGGCACCGAGTCAGGGTTTCCTAAATTTCCCCATAAAAATATTTAGGTGGCGACTCTATATCTGGCAAAAGCAGTCCATGTTTGGCACTTCTTTTTCCAAAATCTGTTTTCTCAAAACGATTTGCCGGATTTGGACTCTTTGGTTCAGATTAAGAACCGTGACAATTTTAGAGTCCTGAGCTGTAGTAAGCCCAATATCGAACGGGACGGGGTGGACTCGTTCCTCTCCCCAGGGCGTTCCGGGGACGTCTACACATACTTTCATGCTACTAAATTGTTTTTGTTTTCTTTGCTTCTGCTTTATTAGTCTCCGATTCTGAGGGACAGTCTCTTATAGGGATAGCAAATCTTAGATATCAAATTTGTATTGCCTTCATTCTTATGCCGAATGTCTAACGAGAAAAAAGTAACCAAAATAGAATTAAATAAAAGAAATGTCAAGCACGAGAAACAAAAGGAATCTTAAACTTCTTAACTCAAATAATATTCCCAATACCTAAGTTGTCTATCAATGATAGATAGTTGGTTGCAACTATCATTGAATTCTTTTTCAATGAATTTACACGATCTCCATTTATTTATCTAAAATTATCATTGAATCATTTTCAACAAAACAACTAGTGTTTTAATTTACATGATCTCCATTTATTAATTAATTTGCTCTCAATTGGGAATCTTAGTTATTTCTTCAACCCAATAAATGTTGCCATAATTTTCTTTACCTTGTCTATAGATAAGTCAGCAACAAAATGATGCATATTTCACCAACTTGATGAATGATGGGACTGATTATGAATTTATGGATGAGCCTCTTGACCAAGGGGATCAGTCTTCCCCAATCTCTCCTCAAATAGAAACCACCAAGAAATCACAACGAGGTGGCAACTTCACTACAGAAGAAGAGAGTATGCTCATATCGGCATGGCTTAACATTAGCTTAGATCCAGTGCAAGGGAATGAACAAAAATCGAAGGCATATTGGCTAAGAGTGTCGGAATATTTCCACCAGTACAAAACGTTTTCATCTAATCGTAGTCAAACTTCTTTAATGAATCATTGGTCAGCAATTCAACTTGCCACAAATAAGTTCAGTGGGTGCTTCGCCCAAATCCAAAGGTTGAATCAAAGTGGAAAGACTGAAAAAGATAAGGTATTAATGCCATTGAGATTTTTATACTTATTATCATTGGAATTGTCTAATCTCATGATAATTAGTATTATTTTATCTATTATTCAGATTCTTGATGCGAAGAAATTATACAAAGAGTTGTACAAATCGTCATTTCCATTTGAACATTGTTGGCATGAGTTAAGAGATCAACCAAAATGGCGAGAGGAATATAGCATGAAGAAACAAAAACCAAAAAAAGTGGCAACTCTCGGCGTTTGTTCTCCTAGTGCACCGGATTCAATCAATTTAGAGGACAATGATGTTTCACATAATGACAATGTAGACTTGGAAAGACCACCGGGTATGAAGGCTGAAAAGGAATGTTGGAATAAAAGAAAGAATAAAGACCGTGGAAATGAAGGAAGGTCGCCTATTTTAATATTATTAGAGGATTTAAAAGAAGATAGAAAGAAAATGAATGACAAGAAAATAGAGATGTATGAAAGGTCGTATCTTCAAGAGCAAGAAAAGATTGATAATGAGAAAAAGAGGACGCAAACGAAACAAGAAAAGGTTGATAATGAGAAAGAGAAGATACGAATGGAACAGTTGAAGGAGGAAGAGCGAATAATGTCATTAGATACGAGTGGTCTGCCTTCATTGCAAGCAGAATACCTTCATCGCCGCCAAATGGAAATTCTCCAAAAAAAAGATTTAGTTGTTGGAACTACCCAAAAAAAATTTGGTTGTTCGAACTATGTTTTTCACTTTATTTATTGTTGGATTTGATTCTCCATTGTAGGCAAAACTATGTTTTTTATGCAGTTTATGTTGGAATTAGTTATTATATGTTAAAATTTATTTTGGAACTACCTATTGCTGAATGGTTGAACTAGTAGTAATTTAATTACTGAGTGGAATTCTTGTTGAATTGCTTATTGTATGTTGGATTGGAGTGCTTCTTATTTACAGGACATTTCTATTTGTTGATCAATTAAATACAGATTATGTAAGTTGCTGGTGTTTTGATTTTGGAAGTTGTTTGATATGTTTTTTAAATTTGACTTTGTAGAAAATTAAAGTTGTTAGGCAGAAACTTGCAAAGCTTAAGAAGCAAAACGCAACCTAATATTTATTTTCAATAGTTTATTACTCAGCTTCATTCTTCTTTTAATTTCCATGGCTCGCAATAGTGTAATGAAGATGATTATTGATGACTCTGATTCTGATAATGAATTGGAGATATTTGCAATATCTGCTTTAGAAGAAGAGCGGCTAAATAATGAGAGGCAATTGGGATTACGTCATGGTTCCATTCAAGGTCATACAGTTATTTATCGTAATCGAATTCAAGGCCACAAGAGACTTTATCAAGATTACTTCTCTGAAACGCCTATATATCCGCCCAATTTATTTAGGAGGAGGTTTTGGATGAGTCGATATCTCTTTCTTCGTATTTTATCTATGGTGGAAGCATATGATCCTTATTTTGTCCAGAAGAAAGATGCTATTGGAGTTCTTGGTCTGTCTTCCCTTCAAAAGATGACAGCGGCTATGAGGATGCTCGCTTATGGAGTAGCGGCCGATTCTGTAGATGATTATGTGAGGATTGGAGAAAGCACTGCAATAGAAAGTCTACAAAGGTTTGTTCAGGCAGTGGTTGCAATTTTTTCAGATGTGTACTTGAGGGCACCAAACAAAGATGACATTGCTAAATTACTAGAGGTGGGAAAAAATCGTGGGTTTCCTGGAATGTTGGGGAGCATTGATTGTATGCATTGGAAGTGGAAGAATTGTCCTACTGCATGGAAAGGTATGTATTGTGGTCATATCCATGAACCAACTATTATTTTAGAAGCGGTGGCTTCCTATGATCTATGGATATGGCATGCATTTTTTGGATTACCGGGATCTCATAACGACATCAATGTGTTAGAACGTTCTTCTGTATTTTCTCTCCTTACTGAAGGGCGTGCTCCCCAAGTTGATTACTCAATCAATGGAAATGACTATACAATGGGATATTATCTCGCTGATGGTATATATCCTCAATGGTCAACATTCGTTAAAACAATTCCATCTCCACGAGGCAATAAGCAAATACATTTTGCTAAGGCTCAAGAGTCAGCAAGGAAGGATGTCGAACGAGCATTTGGAGTGCTCCAAGCACGTTTCTCAATTGTGCGAGGACCTGCACGTTTTTGGAAAGTTGAAACCCTTAAAGTTATTATGAAGGCATGTATAATATTGCATAACATGATTGTTGAGGATGAGCGAAATGAACAAAATATAGACTCTAATTATGATGCAATCGATGAAACTCTCCCTCCAGCAGTGTCACACGAGCGTACACCCGAACTTTATGACTTCATTCAAAATCATCATCGCATAAGAGATAGACAAACTCATTCTAAACTCCAAGCAGACCTAGTTGAGCATTTGTGGCATCTACATGGAGATTTGTAACAATTAGTGTTAGAAATAGTTTATTTATTTTGAATTTTATTCGAAATTATACAAAGAGTTGTACAAATCGTCATTTCCATTTGAACATTGTTGGCATGAGTTAAGAGATCGACCAAAATGGCGAGAGGAATATAGCATGAAGAAACAAAAACCAAAAAAAGTGGCAACTCCCGGCGTTTGTTCTCCTAGTGCACCGGATTCAATCAATTTAGAGGACAATGATGTTTCACATAATGACAATGTAGACTTGGAAAGACCACCGGGTATGAAGGCTGAAAAGGAATGTTTGAATAAAAGAAAGAATAAAGACCGTGGAAATGAAGGAAGGTCGCCTATTTTAATATTATTAGAGGATTTAAAAGAAGATAGAAAGAAAATGAAGGTCGCCTATTTTAATATTATTAGAGGATTTAAAGGAAGATAGAAAGAAAATGAATGACAAGAAAATAGAGATGTATGAAAGGTCGTATCTTCAAGAGCAAGAAAAGATTGATAATGAGAAAAAGAGGACGCAAACGGAACAAGAAAAGGTTGATAATGAGAAAGAGAAGATACGAATGGAACAATTGAAGGAGGAAGAGCGAATAATGTCAATAGATACAAGTGGTTTGCCTTCATTGCAAGCAGAATACCTTCATCGCCGCCAAATGGAAATTCTCCAAAAAAAGATTTAGTTGTTGGAACTACCCAAAAAAAATTTGGTTGTTCGAACTATGTTTTTCACTTTATTTATTGTTGGATTTGATTCTCCATTGTAGGCAAAACTATGTTTTTTATGCAGTTTATGTTGGAATTAGTTATTATATGTTAAAATTTATTTTGGAACTACCTATTGTTGAATGGTTGAACTAGTAGTAATTTAATTACTGAGTGGAATTCTTTTTGAATTGCTTATTGTATGTTGGATTGGAGTGCTTCTTATTTACAACACATTTCTATTTGTTGATCAATTAAATACAGATTATGTAAGTTGCTGGTGTTTTGATTTTGGAAGTTGTTTGATATGTTTTTTAAATTTGACTTTGTAGAAAATTAAAGTTGTTAGGCAGAAACTTGCAAAGCTTAAGAAGAAAAACGCAACCTAATATTTATTTTCAATAGTTTATTATTCAGCTTCATTCTTCTTTTAATTTCCATGGCTCGCAATAGTGTAATGAAGATGATTATTGATAACTCTGATTCTGATAATAAATTGGAGATATTTGCAATAGCTGCTTTAGAAGAAGAGCGGCTAAATAATGAGAGGCAATTGGGATTACAACGTGGTTCCATTCAAGGTCATACAGTTATTTATGGTAATCGAATTCAAGGCCACAACAGACTTTATCAAGATTACTTCTCTGAAACGCCTATATATCCTCCCAATTTATTTAGGAGGAGGTTTCGGATGAGTCGATGTCTCTTTCTTCGTATTTTATCTATGGTGGAAGCATATGATCTTTATTTTGTCCAGAAGGAAGATGCTATTGGTGTTCTTGGTCTGTCTTCCCTTCAAATGATGACAACGGCTATGAGGATGCTCGCTTACGGAGTAGCGGCCGATTCTGTAGATAATTATGTGAGGATTGGAGAAAGCACTGCAATAGAAAGTCTACAAAGGTTTGTTGAGGCAGTGGTTGCAATTTTTTCAGATGTGTACTTGAGGGCACCAAACAAAGATGACATTTCTAAATTACTAGAGGTGGGAAAAAATCGTGGGTTTCCTGGAATGTTGGGGAGCATTGACTATATGCATTGGAAGTGGAAGAATTGTCCTACTGCATGGAAAGGTATGTATTGTGGTCATATCCATGAACCAACTATTATTTTAGAAGCGGTGGCTTCCTATGATCTATGGATATGGCATGCATTTTTTGGATTACCGGGATCTCATAATGGCATCAATGTGTTAGAACGTTCTTCTGTATTTTCTCTCCTTGCTGAAGGGCGTGCTCCCCAAGTTGATTACTCAATCAATGGAAATGACTATACAATGGGATATTATCTTGCTGATGGTATATATCCTCAATGGTCAACGTTCGTTAAAACAATTCCATCTCCACAATGCAATAAGCAAATACATTTTGCTAAGGCTCAAGAGTCAGCAAGGAAGGATGTCGAACGAGCATTTGGAGTGCTCCAAGCACGTTTCTCAATTGTGCGAGGACCTGCACGTTTTTGGAAAGTTGAAACCCTTAAAGTTATTATGAAGGCATGTATAATATTGCATAACATGATTGTTGAGGATGAGCGAAATGAACAAAATATAGACTGTAATTATGATGCAATCGATGAAACTCTCCTTCCAGCAGTGTCACATGAGCGTACACCCGAACTTTATGAATTCATTCGAAATCATCATCGTATCAGAGATAGACAAACTCATTCTAAACTCCAAGCAGACCTAGTTGAGCATTTGTGGCATCTACATGGAGATTTGTAACAACTGGTGTCGCCTAACAAAGCCAAATAACGGGACTTTAGAGCTTACTTTGACTAACCCAATTGCATACAACTAATTGTACGGTACATATCCATATCGACTTTTGGCATTTTATAATCTCATTAACATTTATTTTATTTATAGATAATTTAAAAGTGCTGGCTATGTGTTATTTAATGTTAAAATTAGAGTAAATTAATTAAAAAAATTTAAAACAAATAAAAGTGTTATAAATTTTTTGAAACATATATTGAATTTTACACATTTTTATTTTTTATTTTTTTTATGTTTTTCTATGTTCCTAAGACATTGATGTAATGCGAAATGAGAAATAGTAACAATCTTAAAATTCGTTGATTCA